ACACACACACACACACACACACACACACTATCATGTTCTAAGCATATCAACTAGCTCAGCCACAAACATCTCCAAGGGCTCTGGAAGCTTCCCCAAACAAATAACTACACACACACGTGCAAGGAATGTTACCTTTCTCATCAGGAAGAGAGGGTGCGCTGTCACTTCGTAGAGAATCATCTGCAGCGGTCTGAACCTGTTCATCAATGGAACTCTCCATCTTTTCACCATGAAGCTTCCTCTCATTTTCCTTAGAAGATAGAACTGAGGGACTTTCTTGACGGCTGCTACCACTGCTACTTCTGTTTATAGATATTATGGAAACAAGCCAAAAAAAAAGGGGAGGGGGTGAGAAAGTAAGGTTAATTACTTCAAAGTAAACTTATTTGACTAAGGGAGTGTGTCTTATGATCAAGATATGAAATGATGAAAGATGTAACACAAAACATAAAATGCTAAATAGAGAAAAATCTGAGAAGAAACTGTTTTAGGAAAGATGAGTAGGGGAGAGGAAGGTTTGACTGTTAAATAGTCATGGGAGGCAACCACAATTCTCAAGCTATCACTTTTCTTCCCCCTTCATTTTAAAATCAAGCTACTGGGAAAAGGGGCTTCTGCTTGGCTATTTCAACTTTTCCACAACATCACAATTAATCACAATCTGCTTCAATCCCAACTACTCTACTAGAACTGTTCTTGTAACCTGTACCTAAACTTCAATTGCCAAATCTAATAGATAATTCTTCTGCAACAGTATATGGTGTTGATCTCTACCTCCTTCTTTATAACCTCCACTTGCAAAAGCAAATGTAGTAAAATGTTAACATCGGTGCAATGTGGATAAAAGATATTAACTCTGTATTATTCTTGCAACATTTCTGTAAGCTCAAAATTATATCAAAACTAAATGTCAAATAAAAGACTCTCCTTTGTTACACTCTCTGATTCTACTCTCACCAGCTTTTCTTCCTTTCTTCCGAATAAGTTTTTCTGCTTCTTTCACTTCCTTTTAAATTTTCTTGGCTTTCCTTAAAATGATGGTGACTCCCAGTGTTTTGTTTTTGGTCCCTTTCTGTTTTATGCTACATACTCTCTTTGGCAATCTTATGTATCTCTATAATCTTCTTTTAACTTGTTTTATTTTTTATTTAATTACATCCAAATTAGTAAGCATATAGTGCAACAATGATTTCAGGAGTAGATGCCTTAGCGCTCCTTACCCATTTAGCCCATCCCCCCTCCCACACCCCCTCCA